CGAGGGTTGGGAGCCGGATGCTTCTTTCTTAATTTGGGCTGACTCCCTTCTGGCTTTCTTGGATGCAGGCTTGATGTAAACAATCTCCAAATCACTCCCGCTGCTTCCTGTGTCAGGCTCAAGCTTGACTGTAGGTTTTTTCTTGTTGAGCAGGATGGCGTACATGCAACGGTGCGTTGTCTGCCTGATCCTCCTGCTCGTGTTCCTCTTCTCCTAGCAAGGCTGGTGGGGGAAGCTCTTCTGCTTCATGTTCCCCTGCTTTTGGCGCGACTGGTAGGGCGGGCTCGGGCAGAGCTTCCTCATCAGCACTATCATCTGAAGGTAGAAAGGATTCAAAATCGCTCCGCATGTGTTCAGGTACATCTTCTGGGACAAACGGATTTGAGACCTTGGTGCTGCCACAAGAGCCGTTGATCTAAAACTTTACTCATAGGCACGAATGAGGGAATCCTAAAAGACTCGAGTCCTAAAACAGGACCCCTGCATATTTGAACAGCAATAAGCCTTTCAGAACCATCAAAGTGATGCTGTGTGCACTCCCATCCGCCTGCGGCCGCCTGGGATGCGCATCTTGCCAAACTTTAATCTCGCGCAGCAAGTTGTAGAAGAGCTCTACGCGAAAAGCAGAACATCTTCGCCGCCACAGAAACTCTGCAAGGACTTCGCCATAGGCCCGCTTGCCAATCCGGAGATATTCACGTTGGCGCCAATACTTTTTTTAAGCGTCCAAACAAACCTTCCACCGCATTTGTCGTGACGTTGATGTCCTGACCAAATATGCGTTCCACGCGAGAGAACTCACCAGCCTTGTGGTTGACAGCTCGGTGCCGGCTTTGTCTGCGTCCCAAGAAGTGGTACGACTTGTGCCGGTCCGTGAAGATGAGGGAACCCGGTAACACATGTGTCTCAATCTCCCACTTCAGAGTTGCCTGTTTCCTGTTCGCAATGGTGATCAAGACACATGCGCCTGTAGCTTTTCTGGTTGCCAAGTCCAACTCCAAAAAGCCCATAACAATGGTCTTGTTACCCATGGTGGTCCTTCCAAGAAAGCCTCCTGCATTCGTTTTCTTGGTGAAAAAGGTTTCATCGGTGACGACCACACGGCCAGGACCACCAAGTTGCACACGTTTGAACTGCTGTTGAATAACTTAACAAGCCAAAGCAGATCTCGGATCTTGTTGCGGATCTTGGCCCATGTTTTCTCAGCAAGACCAGTCTCCTTGCGTTGGTGCTTTCTCGTCGTCCTCCTCGCTGGCAGGAAACACTTCCTGCAACCGGGCTGTGCAGTGCAGATGGCAATAGGAACCATCTTCATTGTCGTTTCCGTTTGAAAACTTTCACTCATGGCTGCGGCCGCAGCATCGTGGAAGAATCAACAGCTCTAGCCGAACCAAAAACCAAAGCGCTCTGTTGTTTCCGCTCCACAACTTTGCGGCACATTCCTCGCAATTCGTCGGAAAAGCTTTCCAAGCGAGTGAGTCACGTTGCAACTTGTGCCAACACCTTGGATTTCAAACTTCACGTTCAAGCACAAGCTCTTCCAATACTGGTTGTTCTCCGAAAAGCAAACACCACCACCACCACCACCACCACAACAACAACAACAACAATCACAATCACAATCACAATCACAATCACAATCACAATAACAAAACCACATAATAACAATAACAATAGCAATAACAAAAACAATAGCAACAACAACAACAACAGCAACAGCAACAGCAACAGCAACAACAACAACAACAACGACAACAACAACAACAATAACAATAACGATAACACCAACAACAATAAGAACAATAGCAAACACAAAACAGCAACAACAAGAATAGCACCAGAAATCAAAACATTCACGACATTCACAAGCAATACATTAGCGAGTGAGTCACCTTGCCGCAAAAGCTCTTCCAAGCTTCTTGTTCTCCGAGAAGCCAACCAATGCAACAACAACAACAACAACGACATTTGTTCAATTGTTCGCAGCGCAAGCATGCTCTGCGCATAGCGAGTGAATTGCCAGTCAGTGAAACTGTTGTGGCTGACTCTGCAGGAAGAGCTCCGAGCTCTGGTGTCTACTCCGGCAGAGCCCATTCTTCCAAGTTCAGTGAAGTATTTGCAACCCTGTCACAGCCTTGGTGCGAGCCATATGTTCGAGAGTGAACGCCGAAACTCCAAAACCCTTTAAAGGGTCTTGCACCATGTGATACCGCTCTTCTGTTCAAGCAATTGCAGATAGCGACGCAAAACTCACAAGCATTTGAAGCATTCGTGGTGTTCTTGAGAATGTGTGGATATTTTTGTTGCCACACTCCGGGATACTCACCGTACGCATCCACGGGACTTTGTATGGATTGTAAGACGTTGTAAGCATCCAGCAACCCTGACGCTGTCCGGTGGGCTACTTGGTTTCCATCATGGCCGGGCGCTCAGCGAATAACCATGTGCAGTTTCAAGCTCCTGCTAGGTTAGATGTCATTGTTGTGTGCGAAGACCTAGCCAAAGCCAGCGACAGCATGCAGGTGGCTTCTGCAATTAAGAGCTTCGAGGGGAGCGTCTGAGTTCGGAGGGTTTTCCACACCTTGCTGAAATGAGAGGTAGAAGGGAACACATCGAAACTTACGACGCAAGGCGACCCATCAGCAAAGGGTTCCCCAAGCCGCAAGCTAACATGTAAGGCCTTAAACTCCACCCCATCCTAAACCCTATAAACTCTAAACCCTACTGTATATGCTCCACGTGCTTGGGACCGGTTTCAGGTGCTCTCCGAAGCAGAAAAGATGGCTCGCGCCAAGGCCGAACGAGAGGCCCGACGTGCTTTTTGAAGTGAGGGTCAAAAGGTTTCCTTTTCTTTAAAGGTTCCTTCAAGGGTTCTAGACAGGGCGAGAACCACTCTGATTCTGGCTCTGGCTCTGACTATGACACTTTCTGTGGTGGGGATCGGCAGGCACGCTGGGGGTCCTGTCTCCAGCTGCTGGGGATTGAATCACATCCTCGCACTTTTCCGCTCGACCTCGTGATTCTTTTGTCACGCTTGCGCAGAATACTCTTATGCTCTTCCTTCCAGCGGTTCAAGCAAGCCTCAAGCATTAAGCATTCACATTGCTGGGAGAGCTATACAGCAGCACAAGCCCTGAACCCTTAACCTGCCTTACACCCGAATCGAATCCAAATTGTCAGGCCTTGGCTGCGAAGAAAGCAGAAAAGGAGCGAATTGAAGCTGTGCCTAGGTGGCCTTGGACAGCGGAGATGTGAGAGGGCTCAGGCTTTACCATTTTATGTTCGAGATTCACCAAGATTGATGCCAACGCCAGTGAACCTCAAAGCCTCAACTCGTTTGATTAAGTGTCGTTTGTCATGCCTTGACTGTCAAGCTAAACATGCCCGACTTCCTTGACGGTAGCCTTGTTCTGTTCAGAGTATACTTACTCCCATGTAGTAAAACGTTGAGCCTTCCTCTGCTTCCCACGAACCGACAAACCTCAAGGAAATTCGTGCAGACCGAGACTTGTACGATGCTGTGCGCAGCAATGCTCGAGAGGCCTTGGCCTCCGCGTTGTGATCCAGTCTGGGTGCAGGGGGGTTCTGTTGGCGGGATGTGCATCATACGTCGAGCTTAGCCTTTCAAGGCCCGGCCGTTTTAGCTGTACTGGCAGGAACAACTTGAACTCACTGCTGCCTTTCCTTCCTTCTCCTGCACCCCGTTGATGCTGAGCAGTTCATGCCCTGGCCACTGAAGTGAATGTGTGGTCCTTGAACTTATGTCGCAGTGTTTCCGAGTTTCGGCCCCTTGGCAGTAGGAATCCACACATTCCGTTTCGTGCTGAACTTCCACTGACTGCTTGCGGTAGCGGCATTTTCTCATGTGTCCTTTCGTTTTGGTTTGGTTTACCACGGAGCAGTTTTGGCAAAGGTTGGGAGGATTCTTCGGCACTGGGGCGAAACACGCCCACACATTCGTACCAATTGCCAAAAATCATTCGCAGAGCATGTCACTTCTTGCTGCATGCCTCGCTGCTCTGCTTGTCATCGTGTTTGGTTTGACGGTTTCTCGGGAAGTTGGGCCGGGTTCTTTGCGGAGGAGGCGCCTGCTGCAGCTCCACGGCTGTTGATCCGCGTCCGCTACGATGTGGACGGCCAGAAAGGTCAGCTGCTCATTTCTCACACCTTGTCGTCTCGAGCCCCAACACCTTGCAATCTAGAGACGCTGTCTATCTCTCTCCTTCCCTCATAGCCCCTCTCTCTCTCTCTCTCTCGCGCTCTCTCGCTCGCTCGCTCTCTCTCTCTTTCTCTCTCTCTCTCTCGCTCGCTCTAATTTTGAGTTATGTTTATATATATATATGTATATGTATATATACATGCATAGAGACAGTATAGCGATGAATGTTTCTGATACAAGGCTATGACATAATTACAGAAAAGCCAAAGGGAGAGAGATGTATGTGATTCTGTGTAGGATCGGTGGTTGGGTGGATGGACAGATGGGTAGACAGATAGATGAGACAGCTAGTTAGATGGATCAGATTGATTGGCCTGTTTATATGTAGAGTGCACGCATACACACACACATACATACATACATACATACATACATACGTACATACATACATACATACATACATACATACATACACACAGACACACATACATACATACATACATACAAACAAACAGACAAACATACATACATACATACATACATACATATATATGTACACACACACATACAAAGACGCACAAACATACACACATATGTAATTACACATACATACATACATACATACATACATACACATGCATACATACGTACATGCACACATGCACAAACCCATGCGCGTGTCCGAATACAAACAAAGACACCCGTGGAGGAAGAGGTTGCACGCGACGAGACTAATTAGCATACCATCGCAGCGTGTAATCATTCATGCAGACTGCATGGCACGGAATGCCCAAGAGCGCCCTTTCTTTTGACTGCTCTGCTTGACTTGACCTGATGGAAGATGGCGCAACCATCAACACATGTCTCAGCTTGTCAGACGAGAGCAGAGAGGCAGAAAGACATGGTGGATCTTTTCAAAGCTTCGCTCGCCTTGGGTGCATTTGCACGTCTGACACGCTCATCATTTCAGCAGGTGCTTCTGGACCGAATCAAGCATGCCGCTCTGCTCAAGGAGAATTTCTCTGTTGCCCGGGCCTTCATATACCTGGCACTGCTTCAGATCTTTGAGTAGCATCCCTAGTTCGTTCCTGTTTGCGGTTTCGACTCAACTTGCAGGGTTCTGCAGGTGTTATGCAGCATGTGTATCCAAAACCTGGAGAAACGCCATCCCGCGAACAGCTTAGCAGCTAAGTCCAACAAGCCCCATCCCGATGAGGGCGAGAGCATGAACAATGAGCAAGGATTCCGAGCATTTGTTCTGGTGTCCCACGTCCGCGCCAATCTCGCTCACATCACGTCCTGGTTTACCCGCACTGGCTTTCAATCTGTGCAGTCTTTACTAGTAGCAGAAGCTCCACGTCGTGTGCTGCTCTGAGGCCATAATCTTCCCGCTTGGCACAGAGCCGACGGCTCAGCAGTAAAGGCTGTGCTTTTGGCTCTAGTCATGATTCTGATCACTCCGGTGCTGCCCGATGCTGGCAGTTGCGTTCGTAGCATTACTGCGAATTGGTGGCCAGTTGTTCCACGGCTCGCCGACACGGGGCTCGCCAGACGCAGTGGTGCAAGAAGGGACCATGTAAAGCGCAACTTCGTACGCCATCCTCGATAGCTTACAATACACATGGCAAAACAAGGCCCGGATCGTTCTATCCGTGCTGACCTCAAACTTGCCTCCACAGCCATCTTTGAAAGTCCACTTTGCAGGGCAGCAACAGACTTCGTGCAGGAACCTTCGTGGGGCGTACTGCTTTGAGCAAACGGTGGAGGATTTCTGGAAGGCTGATGTGGAGTTTGCATGTCTTCTTGCACCTGGACTGTCTGTGCAGAGGTTCACGCACTGGAATCGGACTGGCGCGACTACCTGTCCTTCTTCTTCTTGGCAAATGCAGCGCGCCTGCATCTTTGACAGGCGAATCGGCAAATCTTTGCTCGGCTTGCACAAAAGCTTGGTGCATCATAGAATCATGCTGCAATCAGAGGAAGAGTGTGATGCCTGTAGTCCCAAATGTCCCAAGATCAGAAGTCAGTGTGGACACGGCTATGAACCGCTGCAAGTAGCAACAATTGGCGACGGGTTGCGCCACCACACAGTGCAAGTTCCGCAAGTTTCTCCTGCATGTAACCCTATCCAAGGCTGTTCGCGTTGAGAAGCAATTCGGCGGCCCTGCTGCTGCTTTCTATGGGATCTTTACGCACACAAAGGCAGACTCAAGACTTCAAGAATTGCATAAGGGTGTTAGAATGGTGTTAGTGAGTCGTTGCAAATGCTTGGCTGGCACAGCTGCGTGTAGAGGCCATGGTGGTTGATGATGAGATTTCCTATCTTGGTTCTGCGCGATGCTCATTCGATTCGTCTGCCTGGCTTGCCGAGCACGTCGCACACATCCATCATAGTTAAGCGGGCGTTGCCAGCTCCTATTATGCAGAAGGGAAATGTTGTCTCTGCAGGAGTAAGCGTGCGGCGTTCCGTAGTCACACACTACACGCCGACCTTTGTGAAGAGCAGGCTGTGCTTCAATTGTGTGGTATGTTGGATGTCGACCGCAGTGATCTCTACCAAACTGCACAGCCTCTGTCCAGAGTCATCGGGGAAGGAGCTCAGATGCTTCCTAGAAGTTCTCTATGCATCACGATGGGTGGGTCCATCAGCTGAGCTGAGCAGCTTGTGTTGCAGTGCGGCTTCAACTGTTGCTACTTGAATGCAGATATTCGGCCATGCTTGGCGAACAATGGGGTCAATACTGCATGTCCAAAAAATCATGGATGCCGGAGCGGGGTTATCGGGGGGTGGGTCGGGGGGTGGGTGGGGGTGGGTGGATTTTTTTGCATTTGCCTTTGCCACCCCACCCACCACCGCCAGCCCAGCCCAGCCCAGCCCACCCGTTAACAGTTCTGTTGCCCTTAGAAACTTGCAGGGACTTGCGACGATTGTAGCTGAATGTTTAGCCGAGCAAGCATGATGCTCTCGGCATGTGCTGCTTGTTACATGCGACTGCGTCCTACCCTGCGCAAGCTCAGTTCCTACGAACCAGTTGGCAACATGCTGATGGGAAAAAGTCGTGTGTTTTGAGGCCAACATCAACGATCGGTCTTTACTTGGCCGAGATGCCGAGGCTGGACAGATGTTGCACCGGCGGTTGCCGGTGTCGATTGCCAGGTCGGGATTACCACGTGGGGAGGCTCCTTTCCGAAGCAGTTCTGGTCTCAGAAGGAGTCGGAGAGGACTTCACACGGTCTCAGAGGAACGTGATGCAGGTTACGCGAGACCCTTCTGAAGCACCATACCGGCCCTGGCTTCGGCCAGATCGATGCAGCAAGGCCGTTGCATCAGACATTGCCCATGAAAGCCTTTTTGTGGCTTCCATCAGCCGTCAGGCTGGTGCCCTGCTTGCGTGCTCTCGCCGAGGCGTCGCATGTAGCACCCAAGCCTAAAGTGCTGTCTTTCCGCTCTGTTGCCTGCCCTGCGGCCTGCCAGGGTAATGCAGAGGAACTTCGGAAGACCATGGGCTTGAGCCAAAGTAACATGATCCTGCCGGCGTCGGCGATGGTCTCATGTTCTTCGACCTTTCCCGAAGGTATTTCGTTTCCGCAGGGTTCCTTCAAAGACTCCAGAGGCTGGTTCAATTCTCTCCAACAGTGCGCTGTGGATGTCAGTGCTGGTCAGCCTAGAGGCACGCGTCAGCTTTTCGGAATGGAGGACCTGTTGAACCAAACGCAGAAGCCTCACAGCAAGAGACCGCCTAGCATCAAACTATCAGAGGCCAGATGATAAAAGATGCCTAAGGCCAACCCAAAAGGCTGAGTTGCCCTACCCACGATCGCGCGTTGTGGCCGGAGGCAGTCAAATCCCAGCGCTTGTCGTGCGAGACAGTTGCAGTGTGCTTTCTTCATACGCGGGTTCACTGAGGCGGTGGCACGAGCCACTTTGATTGGTTCCTCCTTCCCAATGTTTCAAGGCTAGAGCACGGTCTCGACAGGTCATGGAAAGGGCAACGGACTCTGACGCTTTGTGTTCTGTCAGTTCTTTCCAGCTGATGCAATGCAGTTCACTCCTCGCGGGCCGCGCTTGATCGCTTGCCGCGGGCTTTTGAAACTTGGAGGCCACCCGACTTGCGCGGACTCCTCTTTCCTTGGTCGAGGCCAGGCCGGTGTTTAAAGCGAATGTGTGTACCGGTATTTTGCTGCAGGCATATTTGGGGCATGCCTGCAGTGACGCAGATCGCCGGGGACCTGGTCCAAAAGCTTTCTGTCGAGGATGGGGCAGTGGCATTCCTTTCACAACGCCCTTGCTACGCAGGCGCAGATCTTCTCTAGCGAGTTCAACTATTAGCCTGGAGCCAATACTTGTACCTGCGAGCCCCGCCTCCTTACCTCGGGTGACCTGTCAGCCGTTTACCCGCGACTTGTAAATGTAAGAGATTCAACAAGAGTCGAAGTATGCATTTGCCGAGGCGGGGAACTGGCGGAAATCTGGCTCTTGCTCGTGAATGTACATAGCTGTCATCAGCCGCGCTGGCTTGAGCCTGGTGAACCGCTGCAACAAGAGTCCCTCATCTGCGGAAAAAATATGTTTGTGCCTCGCTCGCTCACTTTTAAACACGGTGGGCGCAAGGACTTAGTTTCACGTGTGGGTCTTCATGGCTTTAAGACGTACATTCTAGATGCAGGTATGGGACGCAGACTCTGGCAACCTTGATTGCCGGTTGATGGGCCACATAGGGGTAGCGGGTAGCTCAGGCATGCCCGAGGCGAGCTTTTGAATGCGTATTTGCATGTTGGAAATGTTTCTTGACGACAGCTCAAGGTGTCCAGTGTTGCAGTCTGCCCTACGAACTCTGAGTTGCTTGCCACCGGCGGTGAGGAGTTCCATGTGCTCATTCCTCGTTGCTAGTGAATATCAGCTTCGCTGGCCAGCTGCGCAGGATCACACCGTGCGACTTTGGGATCTTCGAGATGTCTCATCCAGAGTTTTTCCGAACGGTTGGCTTTGCATAGCGCGCGAAGCAGCAGACCACCAAGATCGAGCCTAGCTCGCAACTTGCTCGTATGAGCAGAGAAAAGGCCATTCCAGCGCCTTCTGGGAAGCCGACCCCTTGCATTCGTGGCTTGTTGCGGAGCGTTGTGCAGGTGACTGGTGTCAACCTGGCGCATTTCACGCTGAAGGGGCACGAAGGCAGCAACCTCGGCACTGACAGATCTCAAGTTTAAGTGGTGTGGCGGTGCCGGGCAGTGCAGCCGCTCCAAGCTGGCAGCTAACCTGCCTTTCGCAGCTTCAGAATTCTCAAAGAATCCATGCTGTAAAAGTTAACATTGGGTGTTTGAAAGGGTTTAGGTATTTTTCTGTGAGTTTGTTGGCAGTTACCTTCCTGTAAAGTGGGAAGGCAGTAGAGGCAGTAGCGGACAGTAGAAACGCACTGAGTTCATTTCTGTTATTCTGTTTGGTGTGTTTTATGCTGTCCGACATGTTCATATGTATGTCTCCACTCTATGGCTTTATGCTCGATAAGTTCGCTCCATCATTGCGCTTATGCTTTCTCCTGTCGTTCGCGCCCGGGCGTACCTTGTCGTGTTCTGCAGGTTGCTGTTATGTAAACCTTCTTGTAAATTCTGTCCCAGACCTCCTGCGGCCTATTCCTATTTACTCGGACCAGACTTTGCTCTTTTGCTCCCGACAGTCGTGGTTTTTATGCTGCTCGCTTGCTGCGAAGCGGGAGAGGGAGAGCATAGATTTGATGGACGGTCAAGCAGCGGGAGAGAAAACGGTCGTCTCCACCGAAAGGTATCCTTTGCAGAGATTATTCTGGGTGGGGCCCGATTCCGGTCCACTGGCCCGGGGAGCTTCTGTCGTTTTTGGGTTTGGGAGCGGGTGGTTCCGGAGCGGACGTTGCAGGGTTCCGGAGCGGGCTCCGGAGCCGGTTCCGTCAAACCTAGTGCAGTACACACACCACAGCAGTTCTATTTGCTTTTTCTAGGGAGGTGGAAACCTGGTCCCTCTTAGCTGTAAGGGGACTAGGTATGGTGAATGCTTCAACACTTGCAGGCCGCCCCGTGGCGAAGCGGGGGGAAGGTCGAAGTGAAGCTGCAAGAATTGATCGGAAAGTACGCAGAGCACGAAAGAGACGGTTTCGAACGTAGTAGTATCGATAAAAAGGATTCACAAGCAACTGGCTCGGCACGCCAATTTCCAGACTGCATTGCCCAAGTTACGATGCCCGCATCAACTCTCGAAGATCCCACCTATAGCTTGGTTGAGACCATACAGCCATTGAGTCAACTCACTCACACTGCCAATAGAAGCTTAAGTTGCAATTCGGATCATCAAGATGCCGTTCTACCAGGACGATATCCGGAAACTTTTCGCATTGCCTCTGTCGTGGACTCAAGTTATACACCTAACTACTACTGGGTGCTGGCCCTAAGTCGTTGCGCACCGCCAAAAGTCGTAGCAATCCCGCGTCACCTTGCGGAAACGTATTACCAACCCATATAACCGACCACTGTGACAACATCTTGCATGCTTGTTTGTGCAGCGTCACACTGGGGTTTCGTATTTTCGTGCTAGCCGATCGTTCCATTGGGAATCGAGCGTCTACATGGGACTGGCACATGGGGACTGGCTGCTTTTGATGTGTTGTGCTGATCTGTGTCTCGAGTGGTTGACTCTCCGACGTGTTTCTCGAGCTACAAGCGGTTGACCTACAAGTGGTCGCTTTATCTCGCATCGCTGGGTTTAACTACGCATCGATGAGCGTCCACACATGGCAAACCGTTTCAAGCACTCACTTCGACAAGTGGTCGCTTTATCTCGCATCGCTG